CTTTTTCGTTTTTTTTCTTTGAGCATGTGTTGGGTGCCTTTACTGTCTGTCTTGGTAGTTGTTTATATGTCACTTTTTGCAATTAAAGTTCTGTGGGAGATCCTGTGATCGCTATCCATGGTGCCAAAAACTATCAGGCTATCAGGTGAAGGAATGTTAAAGAAACACAATGATTGATTAATGACATTATCTGTTGGAGCAAGTTATCAGCAAGTTTTTATGGGGTAAATCGAGAGAAAGAGGGACGAGACTAGAAAATGTTAAAATACTAAATTTATATTGGTTGTTCGAGAGCCAGTCAACGTTAATTCAGTTCTCAAGCCTAAAAGAGGATTCAATCAATGGGAAAAAAAAAACAGCATATGAGGTTCTTTCTCAGCACAGCCTCTGGGTGTCACTATGAAATCAGAAAACCTTTAAGAACATTGTCCCTCCCCTTGCAAACCCTTTGTCTGAGCTGAGCAAAGCACTTGGACCAAATATACCAGCCGACAAAACCCTGTTGTTGGTTTTGTAAATATGCGGCGGTAAGCGAGTCGGTTATTGCTCTTGGCATTAACAGCTCATGTGGATTTATATGCTGTTGAAAAATGATGGAGACTCCAACAAGTCACTACTCCCGGTTTGCCTTTTATTTGGCGTTGATGCTATTTTCCGGAAGAGAAGCTTTGGCTCAAATAAGATATTCTGTTGCAGAGGAGGTGGACGATGGCACTGTTGTTGGAAATGTTGCGAAGGATCTCGGGCTTGATGTAACCTCTTTGGGTGACCGACGGTTCCGTGTTGTCTCTGGAAGTGAGGACAGTATTTTTGAGGTAAACCAGAATAGTGGGGCATTGTATGTCAGTAATCATATCGATAGAGAGGAACTCTGTCAGGGCAGCGGTGCTTGCCGCATGGAGGTAAAAATTCTTGTAGAGAACCCTTTGGAAATACACTACATAATCGTAGAAATTACTGACATAAATGATAATTCTCCTAGTTTTCCTGCAAGAGAGCAGACATTTGAAATAGCTGAACAAACACTGCCAGGGAAGAGATTTCAGCTGCACACTGCTCGCGATCCCGATGCTGGATTAAACTCTATTCGTACATATACTATAACCTCAAATGAACATTTTGAAGTAAATATCCGTCAAAGTGATGCAGGAAAGGTACCGTTTTTAGTGCTTAAGAAATCACTAGATAGAGAACAAAATAATGAACACAAGCTAGTGATGACAGCTGTCGATGGAGGAAAACCTCCAAGATCAGGCACATTAAATGTTACCATAACTGTTCTGGACAGTAATGACAATCGTCCAATATTTAGTCAGGAGATTTATCACTTGTCTATAAAAGAAAACATACCCGTCGGTGCATCAGTATTTAGAATGAATGCGACAGATTATGATGAAGGTACTAATGGAGAAGTTGAATATACTCTCGGAAAAACTTTATGGCAGAAAGTTTATGATATTTTTGAACTGGACAAAATAAGTGGAGAAATTACGGTCAAAGGAGTAGTGGACTATGAAGAAAACAACGTGTATGAACTGGATGTTGAGGTATCGGATAAAGGAACGCCTCCATTGATGGGCGAGTGTAGACTAATTATAAAAGTACTAGATGTCAACGATAACCCGCCTGAAATCGAAGTTACATCACTTTCAAACACAGTGCCTGAAGATTCCAAGCTTGGCACCGTTATTTCACTTCTTAGTGTGAAAGACAAAGACTTCGGTGTGAATGGAAAAATAATATCAAGCATTATTAATGAAGTCCCTTTTGAATTAAAACCTTCTTATAAGGAAAACACATACTCAGTGGTAACTAAGGATGTTTTGGATCGAGAGGTGGTGTCCCATTATGAAATAACAATAAAAGCCACCGACTGCGGTGAACCTCCACTATCTACTTTTAAAACTCTGCGCATTGAGATATCAGACGTAAATGACAACAGTCCACATTTCAAACAAAATCCTTTAGAGTTTTATCTCGTAGAAAACAACGCTGCTGGAAAGTCTATATTTTCTGTAAGCGCTTCAGACAATGACTTAAATGACAATGCAGCTATTTCATATCACATTATGAGAGAGGGGAGCCAAAATGACGTTATGCCATCCCTGAATATAAACAGTGATAATGGACAAATCACTGCGCTGAAAAGTTTTGATTTTGAAAC